TTTCACCAGCAGGGCCATCAGGGGTATGAAATAACCTCTGTGACGATGGTATCCTTTAGCAGTGGCTGATGGAAGATAACAGTACCGTTCCCTTCATCCAGTGAACGAGGCAGGACTTCCCATCTGCGGTAGTCGCTGAATTGCCTCCTCAGCCACTTCTAACCATAGGAATAAAGGCATTGCCTCCTTTTGGACATCTCTAGCTCTAACACTAAGCAGAAAGGTGGCAAGTGATCCCAAATTTCTAATTGGAGCTAATACCAGCTAAACAGATTTTGGCAGTGGGTCCAAGCAAACCCTCAGATTAACTACCTGAAGAAAGATCACCCCAGTCTCAGCTTGTTTTTCTGTTTTCTCAGCGTTCATTGCGTTTTCGTCCATGCCAGAACTGGCTCAGAAAATCAAAATGTTTTTTGCCCTGGCTCCAGTAGTGACACTCAAGTACGTCAGATGTCCCATCATAAAAATGTCCTTCCTTCTGGACAGGCAATGCAAGATGCTTCAGGTAGGAGATTACTCCATCCACTCCTCCCCCGAACACACCAGTGCTAGAAAAGGGATCGGATCGTGCCCAGATGCACTTCCTGGGGCTATCTGATGTGGCAGAAAACAGTTAATTCCTGATGATTTATAAGCACAGACATGATTTCAGGTGCTGGTACACTCCTGCATGGTCACTTTGTTGAGTGGATCTTGAGTGCATCCTCCCATCTGCAGGATCTTCAGGTGTGGAAACTGGTCTTTCTGTGGGGGCATTTGTTAAATTCCCGGACAGCCCGCCTGGAAGTGAGCAGCCTTACTATGTTGATTTTAATGACTGAAAAATGAATCCAGTGCTTGGGGGAAGTTGGGTGAAAGAGGAGAGTCACGAATATTGATTTCCCTGGTGTGCATTCAGCCAGTATCGCCTCCTGCAATGAGCTGTACACATCTCAGCAGGGCAGGAGGACATGGGAGGAGTGGGTTTGACTGCTGTAGGTACCCTGTGCCACACATCCCCTCACCACCCAGCTGATGGGACAGCTAACGGGGACACCGGCTGGCGGTGGGTCGGGGCAGGCAGTCCGAGAGCTGGGCTGCAGGAAGAGAAACACAAGAACTCATACTCACCCTTTGCTTCTGCAGCTTCTGTTTGGCAGAACGGATGCCTCACTGCAGATCAAGAAGCTGTGGAGGTTTCTCCCCGAGCTGTGCAGGCACCCGGTCCTGCACAAGGCCTGTGCCAGCCTCTTCTTCCTGCTGGGTGGCTACAATGAGAAGAACTTCAACATGGTGGGTTGGTGGCCCTGCGTGGAGGAGAGGGAGCAGCAGCCCCTGGGCGCACTGCCTGGGAGCACCCAGCCGTGCCCACCAGCTCTGCCGACACCCCGCCTGCTGCCTGCCCCCTCCCTGCCCCACACCCTGCCCAGCCTGCTCCGGCTGCTCACCCCCAGTGCCCATGGGCAAGCAGACACTGCAAGGGCAGCACGTGTCCCTCTGCCAAATCCCTCTCTCGCTGCTTCTCCTCCCCAGATAGGAAAAGTCCTCAGGCTCTGCTGGGTGAATGTCAGTGGCCGGGTGGAACCTGATAGCATCTCTGTGCTAGGGCCACCGGTCACGGGGACCAGCTGTACCTCCCACCAGCAACCCTGGTGTGTAGCCCCTGCTCCTACTCATCCTGAAGCAGCATCTGGATGACCACGGGTAGTCACTAAGGTCTTGAGCACAGTCCCTGAGCCCAGATGAGGTATCCCCAGGAGCTGGGAGTACCTCATCCTTCATCACCATTCTCCTCCTGGAACTGTCTCGGAGCAATTGATTTTTAATGAAAATCATATTCGTGAACCTGACCCAACTCTCCAGGCAGTGTGACAGCAGCACCTGTTTTGGGAAATCATCATCTGGCAACTGCTGTCCTCGCTCCTATCCTCTGGAAAGCAATGATAGCTTGAATATGTTTCCTTGCAGACACGGCTGGATGTGTACACATCCCACTATCCAGACAGGACGTCTGTCAAAAACCTGATACATTGGGTCCAGGTAGGTTCCCTGAAATGCAGATGCTTCACCCCTGGGTGGGTCCCTTCAGAGAGTCTGGTGCGTTCAGGGCAGAGATCTTGGACATTAGCAGCTTGTGAGAAAGCTAAGGTAAGAAATTAGGCGTACAGAAGAAGTGCTGTACGCAGGACAAGCTTCTCCAGAGGGACAGGGACACCGGGGTGTGTGCCCTGGGCTGTGCCAGGCAGGACAAGGGAAGGGATGGGGAGGCCACAGCTGGATTCTGGGACCAGTTTGGGGCCCTCAGGGATCCCCAGAGCAGAGCTAGCCCGAGGACACTGTGGTGATGGTGGGTGGAAGCCAGGACATACAAGGAGAGGCTGAGGGAGCTGGGCTTGCTCCGACAGACATAAGGAGGCAAAGGGGGATGTGACGCCATCTCCCCCTGCCCTAAGGGGTCCCGGAGACTCCAGGGCTGGACTCCGCCAGTCTCAGCAACCTGCGGCAGCTGCAGCGCGGGCCCTGCTGGAAACGGGGTCAGGCTGGAGACCCCCACCCTGGTGCCTCCTTGCAGAGACGAATTATAGGTAACAGGGAAGGTGAAAAAGGTCTTTTTAATCAATGCAGCTATTGTGCCAGTACCTGAACTTTCATTCCTAGCATAGAAGGAACTCTTACAATAACTGGGCTCACTGATGTCTCTGTAACTCTGAGCTCGAAGTGTCATGAGAAGGTAAGGATGATCAGGCTGCTGAAGGAAAACTCACCAATCTGGAGTCCTCCAGCAGCATCCTGTGCACACAGCTGGTGAGGAGCATGTTTTCAGAGGCACAAGCATCACACCTTGATTTGTCAACCCAATGCCACAGCTAGGGACAGGTGCGGAGTTGGAGGTCAAAGCATCACTCTGTTAAAAAAGGTGGAAAACCTGGCTTTGCAGGGATGCCACCTCCTCCCGCAACGTCCTGTGAGAGCACCCTTTTATGATGTGGTCCCTCGAGGAGGCCAGGAGATGCCGGATCCACGCAGCAGCACTTGCTGGCCTCCCACCACAGATATTTCCTCTCCACCCAGGTGGTGAAATCAGGAGAATTCAAAGCCTTTGACTACGGCAGCAAAAACCCAGCTGTGTACGACCAGGTAGGAGGCTGCAGCAGCAGTGCTGGTGGCTGGAGATGCCGGAGGACTGCCCTGGGAGTTGCAGGGACAGGCTGGCTTGCAAGGGTTGACCGCAACAGTGGTTCCTCAGAGCCTTCTGTGTCCCTCCAGGAGACACCTCCATTCTACCAGGTGGAGGAGATGCCCGTGCCCACAGCGGTGTGGTCAGGGGGAGAGGACTGGGTGGCCGACCGGAGGGATGTCCGCCTGCTGCTGCCCTGCATCGCCCACCTCGTCACCTACGGCCACATCCCCGACTGGAACCACTGGGACTTCATCTGGGGCTTGGATGCCCCCGGGCGCCTCTACAGCAGCATCCTGGAGCTGATGGAGGGGTCCCGGTAGCGCCGTGGCTCCCCAGGGAGACCCCGGTGGCCCGGCCCCTCTCCCTGGCTGGGACAGCCCGAGGCGGCGGCGGGACATCCCCCGCCGTCCCCTCCCTCCCGCCGGACTGACACGCTTGCGGGGGCGGGGGGTTCCGGGCACTCCCTGGTCGC